CCCCCCCCCCCCCCCCCCCCAAAAAAATCCTAACGTTATGTACTATTTTGGTATTAAAGAGTGGTTTGCTGTGTCCCACAGTGTGCCTATGGTAAAAGCTGAGAACCTTTTAGCAGGATAACGGCCTGCTAGTTTTAAGTTCAGTTCATAATATGCTTCATGGACAAAGGCATTTGCATGTGAGGCTGAGCAAGAATTTGGTCTTCCGAAAATATCGTTACTGGACTTTTTCCCATTGATTTGGAGAGACTATTGATTCCATCGACTCCATCAGTCAGATGAGTTTTCCGCTCAGTGAAATAGGGCACTATGAGCACACATTCAGTGGATGTAACCAAGACACGTCAAACTGAAAAGAAGAAAAAAGTGGTTCGCTAAAGTTATTGAACTTACAGCAAGCTTGGGAAAAAGTTGTTTTCTTCTCTTTTGTTTTGCCGTGCATCTTAATTGTTCATTTTACAGCTCTTGAGCTGTTTGGAGTAACTTCATTTGACACTGAGCATAATGATCCCCTGGGTGCAGTACGGCACTTATTCTTGTGCTATGTGGAGGAAACCACGGCTTGTCAGTTGAAGCTGTGCAGGGAAACGCAGGACAAAGGATGCAGAAACCGGAAGCCTCTTCTTCAAGGGCATGTGGAATTGTTTAATGAGTTAGTGAAGTGTGCAAATCACTCTGTGCAGAAAGCTGGATCAGTTCAGGACCTTGGCCGAGGTATTGATTCAGCAACTAAAGTGCCATCCGGGAGAGAGCAGTGTCACTTAACTCCTGTAACCTAGAAGTTCAAGAGCATTTCTGTCAACCCCGGGTACAGGATTTGCTTAAATACTTATTGCTGAAAACAGGGCAGAAAGGCTGCACTTGAAGTATTTTAATCCCACTGCTGCCTCTCTCGGCAAATCACGTAGCATCAAGGCTTTAAATTTAAACATGTTAAGTAAATGACACATTTTTGGTTGGGTTTGAAGCTTGGTGCATTTTGGGCTCTTAGGAAGGGCTTGTGAAATTGCCTCTTCAAGCTCCTTGAGCTGAGCAGTGAATTATAATCTGTATTTGTAGATGCCAATGTGGTGCAGTAAGTGACACTTCACTTCTCTTCTGAAGCGAGTGCAATGCACAAATATTTTGGATTGGTAGTTAGCCGTGCTGGTGCGAAATCAGGCAGAGTGGCACCTTGATCTACCAGTTCAGAGCCATACACTTTCATAAGCAACAGCCCGTGTTGTCAGGGTTTTGCATTTGAAAGCTTGCCTGACTCTGGCCCAACTATGCAGTTGTGCCAATAAAAGATACTGCCCTAAGAGCTCCCTGCCTCACATAATTTCTGGCCCATCACAACTACATCACTCTTACATTACCTTCGCTTGTCAGGTGTGTTCAGAGCATCTCACAAAGTGGGATCACAGGAAAGCAGGGCTGGATCATCTAGTCCAGTGCCCTGCTCAAGGCAGGATCATCCCTGACAAAACTGCTCCAGCCAAGTTTCCGTCTACCTGCTCTTGGAAACTTCCAAGGATGAGGATCCCACGATTGCTCTTGGTGCCTGTTCCAATGCATGACCACCCTTGGGGGCAGAAAGGTCCTCCTCATCTCCAACTTTGTCCCCTGCCTACAGTCGAGTGTATGACTCTGAATTACTCTATAAGGTGCCACTGCCCTGCCTTCAGCATAAATATTTGGAGTTAACTGTGTTCATTGAAGTTCCCTGATTTCAAGTCCTGGGGGTTTCTATCCTGCTCACCAGTGCAGCGAGTCACTGGAGCCGCAGCGGTGAGGTCTCTACTGTTTCACTTTCTAGCCACCCCTACCAGAGAGGGTCAGGACAAAACTCCTGTCACTGATCCAAGACCAAGATGAACCACAAGACAAGGGAAGGGCCTTGATCCCCAGCCATTAATTCCAGTTTCTTTGTTAGTTACTTAACTTCTTCCTCCCTGTATTAAATGATCCTGCTGGTTGCCCCCATCGTTTACCAAAGTGGTTGGAGGGGGAGGGGGGTGCTTGATTGACATTTCCCAGACGCCAAGTTGGTTCTTACTGCTGAATTCACTTGTTCCTGGCACCAGCCACAGAAGCTAGAAATCTTGCAGGGCATGGTCATCTTGGCCTCGGACCCTTTGCTTTCACTGAACCTATGCAATGGTGAATACCTTTCCCTTTTACGTAGGTGACCGAGAAGCTGCCCAACCTCAGTCCAGTTCTGAGCTGGCTTATCCTGTTACGTGCACAGATACAGGCCCTTGGTTTGTTGTCCTACCTGCATCTGTTCATTCCCCCCCCCCCTTTTTTTTTTTT